TTTTCAGCTCCTCATGACTGTTCCTTAGTCCCTTGGTCTCTGTAGCAAGAGATTCTCTGCTGTCCTCTGTACTGTTTTCAAGCCCAGCAATTAATTTTATGACTATTATTCTAAATTCACTTTGTGTTATATTATTTAAATCCTTTTTGATCAGTTCATTAGCTGTTGTTATTTCCTGGAGATTCTTCTGAGGGGAATTCTTCCGCTTGGTCATTTTGGATAGTCCCTGGTGTGGTGAGGACCTGCAGGGCACTTCCCCTGTGCTGTGGTGTATAATTGGAGTTGGTGGGCAGGGCCGCAGTCCGACCTGATGTCTGCCCCCAGCCCACCGCTGGGGCCACAGTCAGACTGGTGCGTGCCTTCTCTTCCCTTCTCCTAGGGGCGGGATTCACTGTGGGGTGGGGTGGCCTGTCTGGGCTACTTGCACACTGCCAGGCTTGTGATGCAGGGGATCTGGTTCTTAGCTGGGGTGGGTAGGCAAGGTGCACGGGGGCAGGAGGGGCAGGCTTAGCTTGCTTCTCCTTAGGTGATCCACTTCAGGAGGGGCCCTGTGGCAGCAGGAGGGAGTCAGATCCGCTGCCGGAGGTTTGGCTCTGCAGAAGCGCAGAGTTGGGTGTTTGCCCGGAGCTAGAAAGTTCCCTGGCAGGAACTGGTTCTCTTTGGGATTTTGGCTGGGGGATGGGCGGGGGAGATGGCGCTGGCAAGCGCCTTTGTTCCCCACCAAACTGAGCTCTGTCGTCCGGGGGCTCAGCAGCTCTCCTTCCCTTTGTCCTCCAGCCTTCCCGCTTTCTGAGCAGAGCTGTTAACTTATGACCTCCCCGACGCTAAGTCACGCTTGCTGTCAGAACACAGTCCATCAGGCCCCTCCGCTTTTTGCAAGCCAGACTCGGGGGCTCTGCTTGGCTGGGGAGCCGCCCCTCCGCCCCGGCTCCCTCCCGCCAGTCCGTGGAGCGCGCACCGCCTCGCCGCCCTTCCTACCCTCTTCTGTGGGCCTCTTGTCTGCGCTTGGCTCCGGCGACTCCATTCTGCTAATCCTCTGGCGGTTTTCTGGGTTATTTAGGCAGGTGTAGATGGAATCTAAGTGATCACCAGGACGCGCGGTGAGCCCAGTGTCCTCCTACGCCGCCATCTTCCCTCTCTCTCCAATAAGTTCCTTTTTACATATGTCTCCTTGAACATATTCCTTTATCTAAGATAGATTTAAAACTCTATTTTTTAAGTAAATTTTGCTAACTTGTCCTGGAAAATGGGCAATTCCTATTGTACTGATTTTTTAAAAGTATTCATTGTACTACATCTCCATCAAGATTTGCAATAGGAAAATGTTTACTTGTTGTTAAACCAATGGCAAAAAAAATACATCACTGCTGTTTTGCTTTGTATTTCATTAATCACAAGTCAGACTGAGTATCCCCTAAAACATTTATTGGCCACTTTTTTTTTGTTTCTTCCTTAAATTATCTATAAGCTTTGCCTATTTTTTTAAGGTTATTTATTTTGAGAGAAAGAGAGAGACACCATGAGTGGCGGAGGGGCAGAGACACAGGGAGAGAGAGAAAATCCCAAGCAAGTTCCACACCATCAACACAGAGTCCAATGTGGGGCTTGAACCCATGAAACCATGAGCAGAAACCAGAGTCCAAGGCTTAACGACTGAGCCACCCCAGGTGCCCCTACTTTGCCTATTTTTAAGGGTTTTTTGCCTTTTTTAAGAATTATATATTCCTATTTTCACTCCACTCTATTGTACATGCACAAATATTTTCTCACAGTTCACTGCTTATCTTTTAACTTTGATTCCTTTTGAATAAGATGTTTTTAATTTTGATAGAGTAAAATGCCTTCCCTATATGTACGGTTTTGTTTTCTTACATTTAGGGCTGTAATCAACATTAGATTCAGTTTTTTGAAGGTGTGAAGAAAAAAGCTGTCATTATGTTTGGGCCAAATGGATACTTTTACCTTGCCAGTGCTCTGCCTGGACACTATGACTCTTCCTCCTTTGATATAACTACAACTACCTGTGATACATGTACAGGGCTACAGCTTGAAAAGCAAGACAGGCTACTACCCTTACTTCTGACCCCTATGTCTCATTAGAAAGAAAACCTCATGATGGATTTCTTAATGGGCCTATTTGCCTTCACGACCACACATGATCTTGGCGATGGGCAATGTTCTCACCAATGTTGACATCCGCAACACTGGACACTAGCTCTCAGCACTCTGTTCACCAAAGAGGTATTATGCCTTCACAAACCGTCCTATTATCCAATCTCTAATTGGAATCCCAATTTTTCCCATAATTGAAGAAAGAACTTTTCAAGGTCCAGTGGGTCTGTGCTTGCTTTTCCCCTTCCCAATATCCACAGACCAACACCTAGATAGTGAAGTGACCAGACCCTGAAGAATAAGTCTATTAGCTTCCCAAAAGACCAGGATAATTGCCCTGTCATGCTAGTGTATAATTCACACACAATAATGAAATACACTCCTTTTTCCTATGTTATCCTATATTAACATGCTCATCACTGAGCACCTCAGTAGCCCCCGCCTCTGTTTTCTGGGAACTACTAGAATCAATATACCCCTCTGAATCAATATAATTTCTGAGAGAGCTCATAGGACCATAAGTCTTTAGCTACAGTTGATTGGTCAGTTCAGAAATAGGAACCTGTCTCCAAGTTGCACCAATGATTTTCTCACCTAGGACTTTTAGATTTGGAAAATCCAAATACTATCTTTCAGAGTGACTGAAAGACTAAACCTTAGGAATTGCCAGCAATCATGGATTCCCACCTATAGGCAAAAAATAAACAAAAAAGAAAATAGAAACAAGAGATATGCACTAGAAGAAAATGAAGCTCATGTTAAGAGGAAAAAACAGTATCTTCAAAGTGTTCACGGTCTGGTTTATAACTGTTTCTGAGATTGAGCCATAGTGCTGTTGTGAGGTTCAGTAAGTCTTTTGCTCAGACTAATCTGAGTAGGGATTTTGTCGCAAGCACTCAGTCACATGGTAGAAGTTCAACAGAGAATGTTCTAAAAGTTTTAGTATAGTTTTAGCTTCAATGATCTCAGAAATATAAATGCTACAGACTTACAAAAAAATTAAACCTTTGAAAGTTTATTTCCATTTCTTTAATATACTTAGTTTTGTGAACTTTGAACAATAAATTAATTTGTTGCAGTCCCTCTGAATATGGAAAATGCTGACCTAAACAAAAAACTTTAACTGAAAAAAAAGTTTAATTATTATTCAGAATTTTTAAATAAGTGTGAAAGAAACATATATAATCAAATTTCAAAATGTTTTTTGAACAATTGTATCATTATAGTTCTGAAGTTATTAAAGTTTAAAACTATGCTAAGACTTTTGCCACACCCTATATTTAACAGAATTTTCAAGGATGTGACTGTAACAAGTTGTTAAAGGAAGCATTTACAGAGATCCTAAACTCCCAGTAATAGTAATAGGTGAGGCAGATGACCATTTGCACTTTAAAAAAGTTGGCAGCCAAGAAAGTACACTAAAACCTTTCACTGATGTAGACAATATAAAAGGGTTAGGAAAGAAGATTTAGAAAGGGGATTTCTCTGCAGGTAGCTATTGGGTGTCTTGAGCCATATCCAAACCCTTGAGAGGAGAATATGTTTGCCCTGATCTCAAGCCTAGTGAGAGGCACTGTAAGAAGAATGCTTAGAAAATTTGGTATGTGTTATCTGTAATTATGGCAAAAGAAGGCAGTGACAGTCAAGTAAGACTTTTCCTGTATACGTTATCTTTATTTCCTCTCTTCCCAAACACATGGAGAACAGAAACTGTAATTAGTTAGTCAGAAAGGAGGTAATGAAAAAGAAAAGCTAATCATAACCTCCAGGAGGCACCAGCTGGGATACTGGGTGAGGGGAAAGGGAGAAAAGTCTTAACTTTGAATAAAAATTAAAATATTGACTGTAATATCTGACATAGAATTTTAATTTCCCAATTTATACAGTGTTTCTAAATTAAATTTAAATTAATTATTAGTTAAAAGTGATCAAAAAAGTCATGGTCCTACCTCAGTTTTTTTCCTGGAGCAGGAGGAAAATGAGCCCCAATTAGCAAATATAAATGAACCCAAAGTGTCCAAATAAAAATTCCTTTGTGGGGCGCCTGGGTGGCTCAGTCGGTTAAGCGTCCGACTTCAGCCAGGTCACGATCTCACGGTCCGTGAGTTCGAGCCCCGCGTCGGGCTCTGGGCTGATGGCTCAGAGCCTGGAGCCTGTTTCCGATTCTGTGTCTCCCTCTCTCTCTGCCCCTCCCCCGTTCATGCTCTGTCTCTCTCTGTCCCAAAAAATAAATAAACGTTGAAAAAAAAAATTCCTTTGTGATTTCATTCTACAAGACATGCTTTTTCAACATACCAATTTTGTAACTAATATAATCTTAGCCACCTGAAAGAACTATAGGTAATCCACAGTGACTATTTCTGGTTCCTCATATACGTGAAATCATGTAACTTTGCCTTGTTGTGACTGGGTTATTTTACTAAGTATAATGTCCTCAAGGTTCATTCATGTACCATATGTCAGAATTTCTTTCTTTTTAAGACTAAAAAATATCCCTTTGTATGTATATATCACATTTTATTTATCTATTTACATGTTGGACACTTGGGTTGCTTCCACCCTTTGCTATTGTAAATAATGCTACAGTAAACATGGGTGTATAAATATCTTTGAGACTCTGATTTCAATTTTGCAGGGCATATATCTAGAAATGAAATTACTGGATCATAGGGTAATTGTACTTTAATTTTCTTTTTAGAAACTGACATACTGTTTTCTATTGTGGCTATACAATTTGAAATTCTACATGATTATAATTAAAAATTTTTAAATTATACATATCATAAAAGTTTATATAAGAACACCAAACCTTTTTAACAATCTTGTTTCCAATTTTTTAAAATAAATGTATACTCATTTTCATAATTAGGAAAAGGAGTTATTTTAAAAGCTTACCTCTCCAACATATGTGACTGTTTTTCAAACATTTTCAACATGACATTCAATCGGTTAGTCAGTGAACAAGCAGTTTCTATTGTGAAAAAAAGGGAAAACATTCAAAGGTATTACAAATGGCTGAATTTATACCTCTACGCTGATATAAATCACTGCTATATGTGTGAGAACTAGACAAACATGAAGACACAGCAAAGTCACAAGTGTATCCAAAGAACAAAATGCTTATGATAAAAATAGTTTCCATTTTATTAAATACCCAATATGTCACTTTGCTACTTTACATTCTTTTAATCTTCAAAATAACCAAAAAAAGAAGATATTCTTACCATTTTCAAATAAATAAATTGAGCCTCAGAGAGGTTAAAGCTATGATCAAAACTATGCATCTATTAAGTGACAAAATTGGATTGAGGTCAATGTGTGTGTGAACTCCTTATAACATTGCATATAAGAGGACTCTAAGATTCTAAAAAAAAACTGCTTTGGATGATGCCACTAAATCAATAAGGTCTATGGGAAGACCCTAACAAGCTTGTTAAGTTTTCCACCTGAATCAAATAACTGAAAAGTTTAACTAAAATGCTACTTAAAAAGAAACCAGCATAATGAGAATCCATATAATCAATGAACTCTCAGGGTAATAATACAAGATTCTTCAATCTTGTGACAAAAAGCATATGAGAGAGGACAGTCCCTTCATTAAGTGTGCTGCTAGATAAACCAAACATAAAATAAATATACACGGATAATGTTAAATAATATGGAAGCATTCCACAGTTCCTAAGTATCAGTTATATTTATTTCTATTCCACACGTCAAAATAGTGGTATAGAGAAATATAATAAATGTTTAGGAGCTGAGAAGAGAAAGGAGAAGGATAGAGATCAGCTGAGTCTTAAGGAAGGGACAGACCTTAATTAGTAGGAAGACAAGCAAACATCAGAAGTAAAGATAGGAAAGGTAGAAATGTGCAACATATATAATGGGAACCAACTAAGTCAAATATACAAAGAAAACAAGTAAATCAGAAACTGCTTTAGGAGGATCAATACTCCTTAAATATTCAAAGGGTATACTGAAAGAAGTTAACTTTTGAAGATTCAAATTTAGAATTTTTTATAGGCAAGGGAGAATAACATAAAATGTTTCCATAAAATATTATACCATATCACCTTTTTTAACTTTATTTATTTGAGAGAGACAGACAGCGTGCAAGCAGGGGAAGAGCAGAGAGAAAGGGAGAGAGAATCCCAAGCAGGCTCCACACTGTCAGCACAGAGCTCGACACGGGACTGAAACCCATGAACTGTGAGATCATGACCTGAGCCAAAATCAAGAGTTGGATGCTCAACTGACTGAGACACACAGGTGCCCCTACCATATGACTTTTTAAGGTTAATTTGCTAATAGCATAGGGTGTGATGTAAAATTATGCCCTGGATATAGTAAAAAATTATAAAGAACACAAACTGTTATTTCCATCACACTTCACAAGAGGGAGAATAGGCCCTGCTATGGGCCAATATTCATCTGTTCAAACTCTAATCTCCAATATGATGACACTTGGAGGTGGGGCCTCTGAGAGGTAATTAAATCAGTAGGCATATGAGATATAAGAGACAACAGAGTCTGCTTACTTGCTCTACTTTTCCATCATTTGAGGATACAGCAAGAAAAGAGCCATCTGCAAACCAGGAAGAAGGCTTTCACCAGAACTCAACCATACTGGAACACTGATCTCAGACTTCTCAGCCTTCAGAATCGTGAGAAATAAATTTCTGTTGTTTATGCCACTCAATCTGTAGTATTTTGTTAGAGCAGTCCAAACTAAGACAGGCCCCCATCTGTGACTCTACTAATTTCTACCCCGGAATTTCTACCCAGTATCATAGAATCTACGGATGGTAATAGTATGTTTCCATTACCAGGTGGAATAGCTTGAGTAATCAACCAATTGTTATTCTTCAAGTTCTTATTATGAATAATTTGAAAACCAAAAAAAAAAAAAAATCAGGAAACCCATTTCTTTTATTTTTTAGATTTTTTTATTTTTAATAATAATAATCTCTACACCCAAATGTGGGGCTTAGACTCACAACTCAGGAGTTGCATGCTCTACTGACTGAGCCAGCCAGTCACCTCCATTTCTAAGTCTTACTGACATGTTCCAGTGAAGATCCTCTTCCTGAGAAGAGTACCCTGGTTAACAAGGTGGCCTGTGAGGTAAGTTTGAGGTAGTTAAAATGGTAACAGGAGATTTAGCTGCATATTGTGGAGGAAGGGGGACTCCTTTTATCTCTTTTATAAAAGCTGTTGTATCTTATTAATGAATTGATAGAAATTATTAATATTTAATGAATATCACTTATCAATGGATAGTTTTTTTCCTCTTTGGACGAGTTCTAAGAGATAGCATCTAGGATTCATATACATAGCTGGATTATAAAAATGGGGTAAAATATAAATTAAAATGCTTTTATCTTGTATCCCCTTAAATCTCAAGGAAAATGTCTCTAAGAGTTTATGTAAAGCTATTCTTTTTAAATGCTATTCTATTTTTTAAAGTTTTAAAATATATTTATTTTTAAAAAAGTTTTTCTATTTAAAAGCCATTGCTATGAATGGACCATAATTCATTTAGCCAGTCTAAAAATGCATGTTGTTTCCATGTTTATGTTTATACAAATATGCTAACAGGAGTTACTCCCCATAGAAACAGAAATATAGGAATTACCTATATGAACATCTATGGGAGAATTATAAATTAATACATAACCATAAAATAGAATGCTATAGTGCTGGTGGGAAAGCAAACTGGTGCAGCCACTGTGGAAAACAGCATAGAGCTTCCTCAAAAAGTTAAAAATAGATCTACCCTATGACCTAGCAATTGCACTACTATGTATTTATCCTAAGGATACAAAATTTCTGATGTAAGGGGCACATGCACCCCAATGTTTATAGCAGCACTATTGGCAATAGACAAAGTATGGAAAGAACCTAAATGTCCATCAACTGATGAATGGATAAAGAAATTGTGGTTTATATACACAATGGAGTACTGCTTGGCCATGAGAAGAATGAAATATGGCCTTTTGTAGCAATGTGGATGGAACTGGAGACTGTTATGCTAAGTGAAATAAGTCATACAGAGAAAGACAGATACCATATGTTTTCACTCCTATGTGGATCCTGAAAAACTTAACAGAAGACCATGGGGGAGGGGAAGGAAAAAAAAAAAGAGGTTAGAAAGGGAAGGAACAAAAACATAAGAGACTCTTAAAAACTGAGAACAAACTGAGGGTTGGTGGGGGGTGGGAGGGAGGGGGGGGTGGGTGATGGGTATTGAGGAGAGCACCTGTTGGGATGAGCACTGGGTGTTGTATGGAAATCAATTTGACAATAAATTTCATATTTAAAAAAAAGAAATTAATCCCCTTAGTATTATTTTATATTTTATAATCATGCTTACTGAATCATACATAAAAATATATTTACATTTTAATGAATAATTACAAAGCAAGCATCCACCAAACCACCACTCAAGATCAACAACTGGATACCTGGGATTGCCAATATCCTAGAAGCTCTTTATGTGTCCCTCCCTATTCATAACGCTTTCCTTCAACTTACTATCCTGTTTTTTTTTCTCATCTTTATATCTTTTCTATATTTTTTAATATCCTTAACCAACATATATTCCCAGATTTTAATTTATAACAAATGAAAGCACTCCCTGTGTTTATGACTTGCTTCTTTCAATCAATATCACATTTCAAAAGTTAATGGTATTCTGAGTAGCTATTTTAAATTTTTCATTATGGTAAGATTTTCCACTCCACAAATAAACCACAATTTGTTTATCCACCCTACTCTACAAATATTTAGGATCTTCAATTTGGGGGCTGTTACAAAAAAAAAAAAACTTGGTATGAAAATTCTTTCACATGTATCAAATGGCAGAGTAGGAGACCCAGCTTCCATGCTTCCACAAAGATCAACCATTAAAACGTTTTCCATGAATGAAAACAACTCAGGGAGAGTTCCAGAGTCCACTTAAAAAACTTTAGCCACACACTGAAACAAAAAAACTTGAGAAAAATTAACTGCTTTAAAATGAGAGGAATAAAAGCTTCTTTTTGCCTACATCATCCTATCCCCCAAGCCTTACTTAGCACCAAACTGTTACTTAGCACCAAACTGGGACTTCCCAGATAGAAAGAATTCCCCTGGCATGTAAAAAGAGAGTTGGGTTAGCATTTCCTCCACTCCATAAAGGATCTGCTTAGGTTTCACCCCACCCAGAGACAGATAAAGCTAGGACACATAAATACAGCTAGAAATAAGGAAAAAGAGCAGGTCCTACCAATATAAGCACACAGATGTGAATGACTGTAGTTCCGTGACCTGCTCCACAGATGACCACAGCAGCTTTCATCACTGAAGAAACCAATGGCCAGCACAGCCACTGAGAACACCCCGCAAATTTCAATGGATTTTGTCCCACAGGTATTTGCAATGGCTAATGTCTCCCCTCAGTCCCCACCACACACACCTACTACCACCACCACTGGAGCCCAAGAACCACACAAGCAGCAAACCTATGACTATGTGGCTATAGGAGTGCAAAATACCAGCCTAGATCCCTGTGGCCAACATCCACCACCATACGCTCATTCAGGGCTAGCCCCTCCATTCGTACATCTGCATGCTTCCAACTCAACCCATCACCAGCCTCTACTGCCATGCACATGCCCAGAAGGAGACTATGCAGTCATAGAAGAGCACTGCCAATAGCCAAATCTTCGCAGCTGTTTGCAGGCCTCTGTAGAGGAGGCTCTGTCTTCTGTCACTGTCCTGCACCACTGCATTCACCTGTAGCTAAACCCTCCAACTATTTATCCACAGACCCCTAGCCTATTACCAGCCTCCACTGCTGTATGGCTATAAAAAACCCAGAAGCCATAGTAGTGCACACAGACAGTCAGGTTCCCCAAGCTATCTGTGTGCCCACAACTGGCTTAGCCCTGGATGTCTTCCCTGGCCCCCACTGCTACCTATGTTTTTACAACT